GTGCTAGATTTTTCAATGGAAACATTCTCCTAAAAAGCATTTGTTTATCCCTTCGGAGCAGTAGAAGACGATGGATGAAAGAAAAAAAACCAAACAGACAGACATGACTTGAAGACAGTATTTAACCATCCCTTTTCCAAGATATTTTATTGGTCTCCAAAGATAATGGGCTAAAGCCTCTGTCCTTACAGCCTGCTTGCTGGGAGGGGACCAGGGACCGATGGGCATGGAGACGCTGGAGGGCTGCCTGGGGACCTGGCTGGGGGACCCAGGAGAGGACGTTACTCTCTTCCCACCCTGACCTCATGGATTTTTTTTTTTTTTTCCTCTCCATGGAAACAAACAATCTCTGACTCTTGTCACTCAGAGAAGTCTACACAGCAACATGGCTTGTTTACTCGCTGTTGTCTTCGGTGGATTGAAGCTGTGTGGCCTTGTCTTTGCTCCAGGAAACGCATGGCCGTAGCTGTCTGCAGGAAAACCCGAACGACTGTACAGTTTTCAGAGCTGAGTGGCACTTAGCCACCTCACTTTTATTGTTAGCAGATTATAATGTTGCCTCACTGCGCTGTGCCACACACCACGCTGTGACTAACATCATTCAACAAAAGAAAATCTCCTCCAAAGTGACCACGTTCCCGAGCCTAACGGGTCTGGTAGAGGTCCCATGCATCCGACACCATTTTCTCTCCGCACCTCTCCCACCAGCGAGGACAGGCAGAGGGCAGAAACACCCTGGGAAGCTCAGGTCCGTGCTGGATCCCACACCCCCCCAGCCGCCCTCCGAGTGGAGCTGGGTTTGCTGACACCGACCCGCCTCCAGAGCTGCTCAGCATCTTTCCCCACTGAACCCTCAAAAAGAGGGGCATGCAGCAACAACAGCCTAACATGTTTGTGCCATGAAAGGAGCTGGAAAGAATGCACTGAACCACATGACAAGCGAGGACATCAGGCTGCACAGAGAATAGAAAGACTTCATTTTTAATTACTGCTGAACAAAGTTGGCTCAGTAAAGTATTTCCCATTGTACTGCTGAACTTTTCTTCTCATCGCACAGCAGCGAAACGCAGGCTCCTCCGCTGCTGCAAGTGAACTAAAATCAAGTCTGTGTTAGGGATCACTTATTTTCCTATTAAAAGCAGACTACCCATCTATCACCGGCGTTCCAGCCTTTTCTGCAGTGCCCAGGCACTTCTTTGTCATGGTGGGTGTTTTTATCACGAGAGTGTTAAGAAGCAAGCATGCCCCCCTGCCCTTACAGAGAAAGGCCGGGGGTTAAGTGCTTACAGATACCTTCTCCCCCTTGCTCCAGGCGTGAGCGGTCACAGAAAGCCGTCACAGAGAACTGGCCTCAAGCATGGAGGTCTCTGCAGTCCCAGGCGGGTGCTTCAGTCACAGCCAGAAAGAAGGGACATACAGGCTGGTACCCACCCGAGACGAGGCACAAACTACATCCACGTAGACGCAGCCAAGTTCAACCTACGTGCTAACAGTAGGGCCACAACTAAAACATGTACAAAACAAAGAATTATTACTTGAGTAAGGGTTCTCATCTTTAAAGCCTGTTAATTCTGCCTATGAATTCTTCAGGGCACGGACTTTATCGTTTGACTGTCAGTAAAATATCTTGCGTAGTCTTGGTCTGGGCCAATGTAAAACATAAGCAGGCTTCAGTTCCTTGAGTTTCATTACGGGATGAGAGTCCAAGGATTCACTGAAACGTACTGCATTTGAGAGTCTTGGGGAATTAGAGAAAAGTCAGAAGTGATTCATGTATAACTGATGTCTTCCTGAGCATGCAGAGAGCCTGAAACAATAGATCTAAGAGATGCAGACTGCCCCATTCACTTTTTCTTGAAAATCTGCTGTTTCCTCAAGTAGGAACGTGGTCAGCCCACAAGAAAAAATCCACATCATACAGCTGAAGACACCAGAAGGCCATGTAGGCGTGTGCCTTGGGCAGTCTTGCATTATTTAATTAAACAGCCATTTAGCATCTTGCATTGAAATGTCTTTTAGCTAAAGATGAGCAACTTCCCAAGCAGCAGCAAGGGCCCCGTGCTTGCCACTGCTTCCCTTGCTGTGCACAACAGAAATCGCATGGACTTCACAGCTCACAGACTCCCAACTCCTGCTGTGTTGGTACACGATGCAGTTCTGAAAGCAAGAGCTACACCCTCCTCCTGACAGGAAGGCTTACAGAACACCTTTGCTGCAAGTCACGCTGCTTTTTTTGCAGAAGGTCAATACTCCAGTTCTTGTTTTCCTTGTGGGAATCCTACAGCAACCCAAAGGCGACTTCTGAGGACGACTGGTTTGCCTCCATGTAAACCCCTTACGACCAAACCTCTGCGGCAGCTCTGAGCTCTGGTGAGCCTTCTGCAGCTTCAGGTTCCATTCTCAGCCCTGCAGGTTGCTGCTCACAAAGCAGAGATGACAGAAATGAACTTGTACCTGCACTCCAGTTGCTGCCAATTCGCTGAAGCTGCTGGTGCAGATGGGTTGCAACAGGCTGCCAAGCTCTGACCTGAAGCAGCCGCTACTTTGAATTAAAAGCATTCTTTAATGACTTTAAGATGGCAAGGCCCAAAAGACCTTGCCGTTTATTAACAACCTGGATCAGAAATGACTACTTAAGCTGGAATTACAATCATCACAGCATCAACATCATTATTCCAGTCCATTCAAAATGCTAATGAATAGTGCATTAGCTTAAGCTTAATTATTTTTCTTCTCAGAGGCTAACTACATTTACATACCTCTGTCCAGTTAATATCTTCTCCCTAGTGTGGTTCGGACTGTTAATTGCCCATTGGGACAGTAAGAAGCTATTCGTAGTACTGTGAAACGTGGCCTCACAATGCGGGACAGGAAAAAGCGACCGGCTGGAAAACTGCGGAGATCTGCCCACCCGGACAGACCGAGCACAGCTCACCCTGGGGCTACACACAGAACCACAACAGCAAGCAGAAAACCATCCCGATGTGCTTGTCCAGACAAAACTGCCCACAGACTGCACGCAGCCTTGAGAGCAAAGCAAGCAAACATAACACATTTACGTGTCTTGTAACACGTAAACGTATCTGCACCGAAACTTCAGATGTTCAGAAAGAAAATAAGGTTGAAGATGAAATTCCTACAAATTTGACCAGAAGAGGCTGGTTCAATCTGCAATGTAATGTTTGAGTGTAAATGTGAAGTTTGAAATGCTGGAAGTTTTCATTGGCAGAGTAACTGCTTTTTAACTGCTAAAGTCACCTGGGTATCTTCACCAAAGCAAGCAGCATTGCAAGAGTGAAAAAGAACACCAAATGATCGTGTTACTTAATTTGCCATCATTTGGAAAGGGAAGGCAGTGATGTGTAATTATTTTTTTGCTTTTCTTTCCTCTACTTTCCAAGCTCATGATGTAATGAGTATGTTTAAGTAGTAACACAACCCCTGACTCTTACCCTTGAAGTACACAACTACTGAAACAAGATGCAGAGGACTCCGCAGTGCTTATGTTTTAATTCAGACTAAGTGATACTGAAAATAATTTTGAGCTGGAGAAAGAGAGCATTTTAGAGCACGACACTTTTTTTTTTTCTCCCAGAAACCTTTCCTTTGTTGATCTTACAAGAAGTTGAAGCAATGCTTTCCTTGAGCCCCTCTGTGCAGAGTATATGATAACGATGAGAACTTTTTGTTTAATACTATATGAAATGTCTGACCCTTGAGGCATAATAACATGCTTAAAACACACTTAACAGTACCCTCTGGCTAAAAAAGGTTTCCAACTCATACTTTAAAAAAAAAAAAATATCCATTTAGATGCTTACTTTGACTATGTGCCCAGCATCAATGGCAAAAGTGCTTCTGTTTAGACAGGATGGTTCAGCCAAAATTCAACTTGTTTTTCAGGAATAGGAAACTGAAGAAAATGTAACAAAAGCCCCACCAAATAAATCACCATTTTCCTTTACACCGTAAGTGAACGTCCACACGTGTGCAAATCTCCCTGTTCCAGCTAGCGCTTGACACCACTTTCACAGCGCTGCTGTCTGACCCTCCCCTCTGTCTGATGGTGTGGCTGCAGGAGACCACGCTGGTGGTGACAAAGACACAGCAGGAACAGGCTCTGCTACTACCTCCAGCAACTTTTCAAACAACTCCATACCAGACGAGTCACCCACAAGTTTCGACCGTGGTCTGTCTGCTTTTCATTTCCACTACAACGATTAATATTAATGTAACTTCACAGAGGCAATGAATGGAATCACACGAAATTATAAGAGACAAGATAATTGGGAAAAGCTTCTATTTCTTCGCATCCATGAAAAAGGCACCTGAAGTGTTTCAGGGGAAAAGCAGAGGAGAATACTGGTCTTTACTTTCCCCTGCCAGACCGAAATAAGAAATACAATGTTTACAAAGGGCTGAACTAAAAAAAAACCAAAGCCGAGAAAGCGGCTACCGTTTCTTCCACCTGATGTTAATAGCTATTACTAGAACTCGGTGGCTGAGCCAGTGTTTCCACAGATGTTCTTCAAGAGCACAAAAAGGGCAATCTCCCCCCCGTCCATTTTTATGAAAAATAAGCTGAAAACTCCCAACAGGCAAACGCCATTTTTTAGTAAACAGAATTGTAACCCTTAAGACAGATTTTCTGCAGCTGGCTTTTAAGCTCACGAGTACAAACGTGCAGGCACAACCTTTAGATGACAGAACATAACCACCTCGCTACACGTGGCTGCACACAGCTACCAAGGGCAGGTTTTCGATCCAGCTCTGAGAAATCCACGCACCAAAGGGCAAATCAACCCCCGGCCGAGGAAAACCAAATACACAGAGCGCGGGTACTTTGTGGATAACCGTTTAAAGAAATGGCCCCTCTGTCATCTGACTTGACAAATGCACTTTGCATGTACAGCTGCACAAATGAGGCAGGCAAGTCAGCAGCGAGATGTACGCTTCATCTGTTTGAAAAGTTGGCCTTGCACTTTGTTGTGCAGCCTGCAGAAATCAGAGGATATACTAATATCCCTGAAAACTTAGGTTGGCTTCACGCCTATTTTTTTCCTCTATTCATATTCATTTCTGACTATTGATTTCCACTTGCCCTTTGTTCCTCTGATTCTTGGCCAGCTCAACTCGCAAAGTATTACCCCCGAGGCTCAGACCTTTCAAAGAGGACACAGCATTCTCTGCGGTTGCTTTATCCTGGTAATCGAGAAAAGCCCTGTGCTGTGCTCCTTGCCAATTCAGTCGTAAAGGAGTTGCATGGAATTCCCTTAAAGCACATTTCAGCTCGCTCACTCTTACGCTGGGAGGTACGTTGCCCACATACACAGTAGTAATCACGCCAGATCCCTCTAATCTGGGACTTACAGAATCACCTTCAACATAATGTTGTCCTGTTTGAGCTGAGCCCGCAGCAGCCTGTGGTCTTGTGTTTTCAGCCATCGCCTTCTCACTTAACGCTGCTGGTGTGCTGGCATCTGCCAAGTCTGAATGTTCATCTTGGAGGGTGACGTCCTTGCCAGTCTGCTTCTCTCTGTATCGGAGACTCTTTAGGATGGGGATTTTTCCCAGCATCTCATAGCTAACCTAAAAAGGAGAAAGACAGATACTATTATGACATTTCTCGTCTTCCAGAAAAAACAATGACCATCAGGACTCATTTGTGCCATTAAAAAAAGAGAGGAACCTTATTACATTGCTACCATCCAGAGTGCCAGAGCATTCAAAATGTTACTAATTGCTGGCCTGATTCTGAAGTTGCTCCCTAAATACACACTGCAGGACAAAAATAAACATTAGTTACTCTTTCAGCAAGCAGCACAATGTAGATCCAGCAGGAAAACCAAAACCAAACTCAGAACTACTCGATTTTGACATTTATTTATCAGGGTGCTTTCAGATTCGCATTCTCATTGTTATCCCTTAATATTTGCTTTGACCGAGGGCCTGTGCTCTTGCTCTGGCAGAACTTTACATGCCACAGTTCATCAGACCACCAGGCACTGTCGCTCTGCAGACCTCTTTGCGCTCTTTTCCCCCAAAACAGGATATCCCGTAGGCTGGGTCACACAAAGGGGAGGGACGATGGTGTGAAGTTTGAGCTTAAGGGAGCATGCCTTGTAGCGGGGCTGCTAGGAGTGTGGGCCCAGCTGGAGGCACGTTCTCTGGTTGTGGCACATCACCACAGCCTCCCCTCTTGTCATCTGACTTCAGGCGCCACCCGCAGCTACTCATCAGATCCCACACCAGTCTGCGGGGTTGGATCGCAGAACAGAGGAGCAACGGGGCACTGTACTTCAAAACTATGAACACTCAATCCCTTCCATCCATCTCCAGTTCCCAAGCAGCTTTTCTGCAAGGGCTCTTCCTCTCAGCAGCTGAACCCTATCCATCTCAGGCATGAGATGCCCCAGGCTGCACTCAGTGACTGGCAGGAAACGCAGTGGTTCCCGGGCTAATGTGGTCTAGCGCTTGGCTTGCAGACTGCAGTTGGAAGGAGGAATAATTTGTACTTGGCTGCTGGACAAGCAGAACATCCATCAACAAAAAGATCCAATTCTTCAGTTTAGGGAGCAAAACAGAGCCTAGGGAAGCGATGCCTCAGCTAGCAGAGACCCAAGCTAGTAGCCCTCACAGTGTGAGCACGCCGCTCTCGCAGGGCCCTGCACCCAAGCGTACGAGCCACCACTTCTCAGCAGGTTCTGCTGGACTAGCACCGGCGTACCCTGGCTAGAATACGCCTGCAATGTCCCAGCTCAGATCCCTCTCATCTCAGAGCCCCCGAATCCCTGCTTCGACAGTTACAGAGTGAGTTTGGATCTGGCTGCACCACTTAAAGCCTAAAATTTACAGATCTGTAGGAGAGTAACCCAGCTCTGAAGTGACTCGAGTAAAACTGAAGACGGAGCGGGGACAAAGTTAGGTTCAGGTAACAGGAAAGCCAATCAATACCTTCCCAAGGCTCCTCTTCTGAGGAGCAAATATGCAAGTTTTATTTCAGGCTGCAATTAAATAACAATAAAATTTACATAAAGCCTGTCCTAGCTCTGTCTTGTTATCCTAGCTCTACCTTGTTAATACAAAACCAAACAGCAGAACAGGACTAACCAGTATGGGCAGAGGCCACCTCCATTCTGCCACATTGCAGACGCAGCGTCCAGGTGTTTGGGATCAGGCCCTTTAAACAAGCAAACTTTATGACCGAGAACAATTTCTGAATGAACCTGTCCCGATCTGGCAGCCAGCACAGAGCGGCAAGGACTTCCTCTGGGGCTCTGGGAGCCCCCGCACTCTGAAAGGTACATGCCATTTTCAGATTTTGAAGAGTTGTTGCTCTGTGGATTCCTGGACTGATTTGTCTTTCTCCGCCAAGAATTCAGATCGCTGTATTTAACAGCAGACTCCCCTTCCCTGGGCGATACAACACCAAACCAATGGCTGAAGCCATCTTATTTTGTTTTTACTGGCCAACAATTAGGAACATTTGTTGTCCTCTGTCAAATCTCTATGTGAAATGTAAGCTTTATGCTAATTAACCCAAACAGGAAAAACATTTTTTTATCCTCATGCAGCTAATCACTCCTGGGCCCAAAGTACAAACTCAACCTCTTACCAAGTGTACATGCAGTTCCTTTCACCCTGAAATTAAACTCAGTTCCCAAGGCATAGACTGGGCGCTTAGTTAGAAAGATCAACGCTACCCACTTTGTAGATTCAGGGAATCAACGAGATGGGCACCAAGAGGATCACCTCAGGAACTTCCCAGTCTTTCCAGGGCAAATGGAGGAGAAGAGTTAGATAATCCAAGGGCCAGCATACTCCTTCAGAGACTTCAACTGGCCAGGCTTCAGCACGGCCTCTCCTCTCGCTACACTGACCAGCAGTTTTTGGCCTCTGCTTGGAGATCTTTGCGCTGCCATCTCAGGCTCCCTGCAGACTCTGGAAGATGTAGCCACAACAGCATACACATCTTTGTAAGGGCTATGAACTAGTTACATACAAAAGCTGAAGTTCTGCTCATCAATACCACCCCACAGGGCAAACCTATCATTACATTCAGCCCTCTGTGGAGGTAACAGTACCTCAGCAGAGGCAGTTCCTTTGGCACTCAGATTCGTTTGCAACAGAAAACACTCTGTAAAAAAACCTACATTAGATGAGTTCTGACACTGTCACCCGACGTCTTTCTGCCACAACAGAGAGTGGATTTACCTTGAGGGCTGTTTTCCCTGGGGTCTAGGAGAATCTTTGAGCTGGGTGAAGGCTTTCAAGCCCTTCCCTATTTTTCCCCACTTTTGTCTCAAGGAAAGGCAGAAATTCAGTTTGGGATTTCAGAGTTTCAGTTCAACAAACCAATCCACTACCTTTTTTGGGGTGCATGGGGTGAGAGCCAAAAGGCCAAAGGGGGCAGTGGGTGGCAGAGGAGAGGAAAAAAGCTCGCTCTGCTCTGTTGCAAAATAGCAAACAAAAGAACTCTGTGGTAGTACAATGTGTTGCTAATTAGGATCATGCAAAAAGTTTCTTTTGTCTTGTGAGCTGTGGAGGATTGCAATGATTTATTTTCACGTGGAGAGAGGCCAAAGATATTCCTCCTCTCTTTCAAACAAGCTGCACGTTTCTTGGTCCTGTGCCGGCTGGTCACTCCTCCCTAGCCTTGCCCACTGCTCTAGGCTGAGCCAGGATGCATGGGGCTTGGGTTCTGCCCCAAGCCTGGTTGATCCCATCATGCAGACCCAGGCAAACCCAGTGGCAGAAGCTTCTTCCCTTGCTCTCCCCATCCCTATAAAGTCAAGGCCAAACCATTTATTGATGTTTGTAAACTTTGTATTGAGTGTTGGGATTTAGCTAAATGATTGGCTTTGGCAGTGAAGTCAGCTAAGCAGTTTCCTATTATCCCTTGACCAGCAATTCCCAGGCCACTTCACTACTTCAGCCCTCTGGGGTTGGCCAAAAGAAGTGCTTGTGGGTCTGTGCTATAAACTCAGTAACTGAAGTGATTCAGGTTAAAAATAACTCTACCAAAGGCAATTAATCATTTAACAATCCCGCCTACTCCCTGCCATAGCTGGGAGAGCCTTGGGGAAAGAGGACAGTAGGGTAGATGAATTCTTCTGGCACACAATTACCGGGCTATGGGAAAGGAGCTTAGCAGGGAAACGTGGCCCCTTTCTGACAGTAACCTGCAGAAAACGGTCTCGGACGCTGACTGCCAGGACAAATCTCCCAGCACTTAACCCCGAGCATCCACTCTTACGACACCTGGTTTGGTCCCAAAACAACACAGTGGCAGATGGACTTCTGCAACGTCTCTGCTGGAACATCGGGGCTCTCTTCAACCTCCGTCATTCCAGAACGGTGAACGTAGCCACTTTCAATATTTTGCTGGGGAAAATGAAAGCTGTGTTTGTCCTCTGACAGAATGAGTAATGCTGACCCCTGATACAGCGCAGGCCAAGCCAAACACCACTTCGATTTCCCTGGCAGCAGAGGCGGTGCAGTTCTGGTGTATGGCAGACGAGGGAAGGATAGCTACGGACTGGACAGCACGCTAGGTCTGCTGTTTAATTCTGCTTCACACAGCCGCCCATCCGCATGCACCAACTGACACAAGAACACAGGGCTCAGATGCAGACAGATGCTGCTGCTGCCCCGCCGTGGAAGGCTGCGAACAAGACCAAATAATATTTGGTGCAGCAGATCCACCAGCCCTTCCAAGCACTGAGGCTGGCAGGCAGAAGGTGTTTGAAAGATTCATCTTTGCCCACCCTAAGGGACATCTGACCCTAGATTCCCCATGAAGGCCCCCAGGACAGAGCCCACTTCTCGTGTTGTCTCCTGAATCAGCTGCTTGGACTGCTCAGGACTGCTGAGCTCACAAGGGTTTAAAGCACAGACAAAGCCAAGACAGCTGGAACGGGCCAGCACAGCCGAACATTTTATCATTCATTTGCACAAAATGTCCAAATATGTGCACGCAATCCGAGGGCATATTTCTGGGAGCTGGCAGCCCACAAAGTCTGCTAGTGTCCCTCAGGAGGAACTTATGCAACCCACATTTGGAATCCATCAGCAAAAACTGATTCCATGGACTCTGCAGCAAGGGTCAGATTTGCAAAGGTGTTGAGAAGTTTAACCACGCGTGGAAGCACGCCCTGCTCACACTGTCCCTCCAAAAAACAAAAACCAACCCCTTGGCTAAACTAACAGCAATTTTCTTCTGATGGCAACACTGTGTCTTTGCTGAAGGTTTTGCCAGCCTGAATGTGTTAACTTTTCGAGCTTTAAAACAATATTATTTTACTTTCCAAATAGTCTGTTACAGACCCAAACCAAAAGCTGTTTGTTGTCAGATAGTTTCCATCTCTGCCACTGTGTACTAAACTCTTTCAACATTAGACCCAGGGATTCCCCCCAGTTCGTTTTGCAAAAAATTGTTTGCTACTTCTATAAAATTCTCATCAAAAGAATGATTAAAGAAACAGAAGGAAATGTCTGTTAGAATCTAGTGATTTTTTTCCACCAACTACTCTCATTTCCCTCTTCATGACCCCAAACATTTTAATTGGTCTGTATCGTTTCAATTTAAAATAAGCACAGCACAAATAACTTCATAATTGTGACAAATATAATAGACAGCGTCGCAGATAAAGATCACAGCTACCCATACAAAATACTAAATGAGAAAGTAAGTCGTTTCATGAATTTAGAGTTCCCAGAAACAATGGGTTTGATTTGCAAGACCGATGAAGCCAAACAATTCTCCACTGGCATCCAAATAAAGTTTTCCAGAGCGTCCAGCTCTCAGCAGCTCTCGCTGTCCTCGAAGAGCACGTATTGATTTTTCAAATCCCTGAACTCAGACACAGGAAACTTACCCGTATGCAGACTCCAGTACTGCCTTTGAATTTAGAAGTGTTTCTGGAGTGCCTAGCACTGATTTTGATAATGCTCTTTTGGTATTAATGATATTGTAGCTCTCATACTTCCTTGGAAGTCTTTACATCAGCATTTCTCTGACAAAAATCACAGCAAGTAACTCACATCTTCCTGTTCGGAAAAACACACTACCTCAACAGCAAGAAATAGCTCAGCTGGAAATTTTGTACTGAGAAGAACTGCAAGGAGGCAACCGAGGGCAAGTCCTGCCAATTACCCCAAGAAGTGAATCACTCACAGAGTAACACCTATTCACCCCGTCCCCCTGTCCGACACACTACTTCCTTCCTACATAGCACACAATGAACAAAAACACTCCAGGAAAATGCAGTACCTCTTTCAGCACAGAAATCTAGCCTGGAGACACGCATTCTGTTTGCTGCATAAGTACCTTCTTACCTCTTGGTAAGACTGAGTGTATGTATTAATGGCTATTTATCCTAACAGCTTCAGGAAAGCACATCCTTTACAATAAAGGTGTTTGCAAACATGGGATTACAGCTAAGCATTAATTTAAGCTCTTAAATCACTGTCTTGGCTTGGTCCAGCCGTGTTCCTGAAGGATGGACATTTTTGTAATGTATTTTACACACCACACATCTCAACAATCACATTAAGCTACTTTCTGTTGACAAAACGCCACACTTAGAAGCGAGTTATTTATTTACTCACTACCTCTCGATTCATTTAGTTTTGCTCTGAGGAACAGGAATGCACTGGCAAAGCCAGGATTTGAAGGAGAAAAGGATGTAGAGAAAAGAATAGAAGCAGCCAGGAAAAGTCAAAGGACAAACACTTTAATAATCCGTATCAAATCCTGCATGGTTAACAGCCTGTTGATTAACTAGACCTCCCACCTCCAAGACCCTCTGTTCAAGAGCTGATCATGCAGGGACCACCACAACCACAAGCATAAATATATACCAGTCACTCAGCTCCCTGTGAAAGCATAATGCCAATTTCTTTCTTCTTCATAAAGCAGTTTTAGGTGTTAAATTTACATTCAAATAAATGTTCAGTCATATGATGTGCTCTGTTCTCAGTGAAAGCTGCAGAAAATTCAACAGGAGCTGTATTTTTCAGACAACACCACTAATGTAGATATTACTACAGAAAAGAAGTTTCACTGTCTCATGCAAACCGGCTAAAAGCGTGCCACGAGCTTCAGACACGACTCTACTAAGCATCTCCTCAAGCTTTAGACATAAGCACAAAGGAGCTGTGGCAAATACTTCATTAGTTTACGAAGCGTATATTCTAACACTGACTTTGGTATTTTCTCTAAAAACCAAAGAAATGCAAAGGTAACATCACTTCTGATACATCGCTTGGGACCAACTGACTTACGAGTGGCAAAAGTTGCACCAAATTCAACAGCCCCCGCAAGAGACTGTGTTCCCCAGACCTTTGAAAAACGTTGCAGCTAAGGGGAATCAGACAGAAAAAAAGGTGAAAAAAAAGTGTTAGCAAAGCCCTTTACTGCGACTGAAGTCTGACACTAAGACAGACAGACTGTGATCAAAAGTATGTTGGCAAGATGGATGGAGCACAAGGGGTAGGCCTTCAAAATAATTACATTCAATAATATACTAAAAAAAAGCGATTCAAAAATAATTCAATGGAAAAAATGCACCAGTACAGACAGAGCTTTTATTTATTTATTTATAACCTCAAATCCTCAACCACGGGCAGAGTAAAATACTCTCCCACCATAGGAATAAAAATAGTACTGGCTAGAATTGTTTGCTGTAGATACATTACCTTAACAAATTTAACTCTTTAATAATAATTCCTCCGTGGTTTCTGCAAGACCCTGGTGTACTGTTCCTCATTTCAGCTTTCCTGCTGTTACTCAGTCATGCAGGATTGTGTCTGCTCCCTGACTGAATGATTTTAGGAATGAAAATCTAATGACAAGTTTTCCCAGCATGAACTTCCAGTAAAACAATTCACTGAATGCTTTTCTGAAACCATTTGTGAAGCTGTTACAGTTTCTCACAATCTTGGGGAGCAGGCCAAACCCATAAAACAATATTTATCAATAAATAAAAATTCATGATTTAAAGCAGTATAAAGTCACTACTACTCCACCTGAAAATGAGCTCCAGCCATAAATTCATTTATCCTTTCAAAGCTAATCCCACACACCCACCACGTACACAGCAACGTGCCAGCCACCAGGCCACGCTCCCCTCTCCCAACCAGAGCAGCACACGTTCCACCCGCTCCGCACGGCCCGATGCCACCAAGCGCTCTCTGCGGCGCTGCTTCCAGAAAACCAACAGGGCCCATTCCAGTGAGCCCGGAGGAATAAAACACATGAGGTGGAGAAGCCCCCCAGCTTACACAGACTATTCTACCACAAACTACTACAAGAACTAAGTCTACCCTAAAAATCTACGAGCGATGTTTCCAGTGACTCTCAACATATAATCCATTTGATGCAGCAACCTCAGCTTCAATAACACATTTCTCCTCCTCACCACTACCACTCAAAAAGGATGAACACATACGCTGTTTTGTTTCATCTGACAAACACATTTGCTCCTTTTCCAAGTATTTCTAATACAAAAATGTGATTATATGTAAAAATGGGGGACTTATCTATAGAATGGCCGTAACAGTAAGCCACTGTTAGCAGAGGTAACTTGCCTTACGCCATATTATTCCCTGAGGTTTCGGTCGTTTGCAGTTAGTCTTGATAGTTCTTGTTGGAGTAAGTATATAATCCACAGTTAAATCATGATCATCAAGAAGCTCTTCTGCTATGTCAACCACCTACAAGGAACAAGTGATTTGGTAAACAGTTAAAAACAAATTCACTAAAATTGCACGCCATTCCTGATGTCTTGCAACACATGATAATCTGTCAGTGACAGCGGAAACACAGTGAAGCTGCTACACCAACATAACTGCAAGTCTCTTCTTCAGACATACCATCCAGTATCACACAGTTCCGACTCGTCACTTGAGAGTGGATATTTTAACTCACCTGGCAGTCATGCACAACAGTAACCACAGGAGTATCCTCCTGCACTGCGCCCATTGACACCATCATTGCGTATTCCATGTCTGCGTAACCTTCCCCTTTTCCAATCCTCCAGCCTGAAACACACAAAAGCAAACAGTGACAGGAAACACGGACACAGCAGGGTGGAAAGGCTGGTAACTGTCAAAAGCAGGCAATTGCACTAAGCAGTCTTCAACAGACAAACCAAGCACACAGCTGAAACTTGGGAAAAATTCAGATCAACATCTCTCACAGAATGCAACTTTCCTTCTAATCAGCACTGCAATTAAAATAAAACATTAGTTTCAACGAGGTCCTAAAGCATCCCAGGAGCTTCCCATTCAGAATAAACCAAATTTAGCCCAGTTCAGTTGACATACGAGTCTATTTACCTCATTGTAATTGGAACCCTCTATTCATGTCAAACATAAGTTAACTTCACGTGGGTAAAGAGCAGTCTGGGACACACACAAAAAGCATGTTATTTTTCAGCAATGGATAAAGTCAGTGGAAAATTTTTCACCACCAGCAGGTCTTCAGAATACTAGAAAATGCAAAATCTGATCTCCACATAGGTACTGAATCAGCAGCTGTAACACATGCTCTTTCACACACACCCTGTGAGAGCAGGGCAGATCCTCTGAACAGGGAGCCCTCTGATTCTTTTAAAAGAAGAAAAAAAAAATCCTTGCCTGAATAGTTGTACTGAAGGCCAAAACACTGGCCAGCATGCTCTAAACCACACCGCTCTGCCCACTGAATGGCAGGGTGGCATTGTTGCAGATCAGGCACCGATTCTTCCTGGCTGGACTGGGTCAGTGACTTGTCACACAGAAGAGACAGAACTCATGACCGAAATTCAGTTCCAAAGACACGTTGGGGTCTGCCAAAAGGAGCACGCAGGGCAGCCTACTGACACTGCGGACTGCGACTTAAGACCCTCCACTTGAAAAGCTTACACGGCTTTCTCTTACCTTTTTCAGAGACAGCCACTGATCCTACAACAACCAAGTCCACTCGTGCTTTCCCGTCAAGGCCTACAGGCACACTGTATTCTTTTATACCCTGCAAGAAAAACGTAATTTTTGGTTCACAGAGTGCAGTCTTCCAACCAGTGAGGCAGAAATCCAGAGTATTTTGATAAATCCAAGAAACTCCCCACGTTTTAAAGTGTTTTTTTCCATGTATAGCCAAGTTGTACATGTCTGGAAAGTTATTCTCTGGGGGATCCTAGAATACATTCCCTACTACAGTGACAAGCATTTTGGCACACTTCAAGGAGAGCTAAGGGGGGTGGGCACTTTTCTAAGCAAGGTTACTTATTTAGGATCAAAAACTCTTATTTTCAAACCCCTCACTGGACATCTATTTCTAAAAATGAGGGCAAATGACACTTCCTGCCCTATTACTACTACTACCTTAAAAGTCATAACATGTAAATTCACGTCCATGAGGAATACCAGAGCACTACAAATTCTTAAATTCACCCTCACCAAGTTAATTTCGACACAGACAGCTACAGCATAAAGATGTTAAGTTTCTTGTCTGAAGTCACACAAAATGCTTTACTGAAGCGCAACGAAGTACACAAGCTGGATCACTCTCCATTTCATACTGCATCGGCTTCACTGCCAGTTTCTCCATAAAAGCCCCTTCCAAAGCTGCCTAGGTGTTCCCTGAGACTACATTCCTCAACACTTCGCTGCCTGATCATCGTTCAGGATGTGCCACTGCCATGTTAAGCTATCTTTCCCAAAAGCTTTTATCTCAGACAGTAACGAAAAGAAAAACGAGCTGTTCCTGACAAGTGGAAGGAAAAACCTTACACAGCCCTCTAATCCATTTTTTTCTTCCCCTCTCTCCCCCCTCATTCCCACTCGCCCGTCTTCAGGCTCCTCTCTAAAGAGCATATCCTAACAAAATTCTGCCCAGAGCTGCAGAAATTAAAAAGTGTTTACTTGGGCTCTCATAGATCAGAGGTTTAAAACTTTCAGAAATGTATCTTCTGATTTATTCACTCTTAACACATATGTACAGCGTATCATAAATCCTCCTCACCTCAGTTCAACTTTGTGCTAAGTTCATCCTCACAATAAAAAGCCAAACATTTTTCTGCATAGAGCACAAACCCAAAAAGATCAGTGATTTGTGGCTGACTATCAGTAATAATGCTCATTATCCACTTCACAGCAGTGTGGTAAGAATTGTTTGCACAGTGCTTTGTAAATATAAACTGCTAATAGCATTCAGTCATTAGCAGGCCTCGCTGGAGGAAAAACCAGACACATGGTGGTAAGATCAGAGATCAGATACGAGCCCTGAAGCAGGTCAAGAGAAAGGTCTCTTGCAAAAGTGCTCTTCAACCCTGCAAAGCTTCATTAGTTAATGACCTTAATACAACTTCCAACAAAGACAGTCGCTACTAATTACCATCCATTTACAACCCTCAGCTGTATACGGGATTGCTGTAGAACTTTATTGCCTTTAGCAGGAGGTAAAGAACGAAATAAACCTACACAGCTGGCCTATTCATTCTGTACACGTCGCGTTCTCACAAGACCCGGCGGTTTCCCCGCCGCAGGACGGCGGGCGGCCCGCACCGGGGGCGC